TAGCTCAGTGGTTCCACCGCCTGGCGCAAGGACCGGAGTTCGATCCCCAGTACCAAAAAAAAAAAAAAAAAAGTTAAAAGGACTGGGGATGTAACTTAATGGGTTCAGTCCCCAGTGTCACACACAAAAAAACAAAACAAAAAATTCATAAAAGATTTCAAAGAAGTTAGTGTTGTAATGTCTTAAATTCAAATTCCCCAGATATCTCCAAGAAACACATAGTCCTAGAAATTGAGAATTGATGTTAAAAATAATGACTACATTTTTAAAAAAATCCCCCCCAAAACAGGCACCTGTAAGTCCAGCACACGAAAGGCTGAGATGGGATGGCAAGTATAAGATCAGACTAGGCTGCAAGACAAGACCCTGTCTCAGAAAAATAAAACAGGAAGAAGGGAAGGGAGGGAGGGAAGAAATGAAAATGACCACAAGGTTTCATTTTCAATATTCAGCATATGTTGGGCTGGGGATTTAGCTCAGTGGTTTTGCTGCCTGCTGCCCAAGCGCAAGGATCCAAGTTCGGTCCCCGGTACCAAAAAAAAAAAAAATATTCAGCATATGTCTTTTCTGGAGGAACTGAATATTTCTACTTAGTATTTTTATTCATTGCAATACTTGTAAATTTGGAAATTGACGTAGTATATGTGTGTGTGGTGTTAGAGATGGAACCCAGGGCCTTGAACATGGTAGGTGGGCACTTTTATCAGTGATAGGGACCTACATCCCCATCACTTTTTCTGTTTTTATTTTGAAACATTTCTTACCAAACTATTTCGTTGAGCATTGAGTGTATGTCTCACGGTAGTCCTTTTCTCTAAGTGAATCTAATCATGACATCAAGAGTGAGACCATGTAGTGTGAAGTTCTGCAGACACCAGAGAGTGCAGCCTGCTTAAGATGGGGATCCAGGGTCACTTCACTCTGGGAGACTCATTTAAGCTCTCTGGGCCTCTGCTTTCTCACTGGGAATAGCAGCACTCTGTTTGTCTCTTCTCCCACAGGGAAGGGACACATGTAAACTCAAGTATCTGGTAAATATGAAGGGAGTCCCACATAGTGCAAAATCTGAAAGGAAACATCAAATGTTAAAATTTATAATATTGAAATGGTAATAAGTAATATATATAATGGTACCTCAGTTCACAAACTTAATTTGTTCCATGATTTTAGAAAAGATGGCCACATTTGTGTCTGTGTGGGAAAGATGGCCACAGTCATGTTTGTCACCTGGTGTAGTTTATAAATAAAAACACAATTTTGCTAAGCATTTTTATTTGCAAACTAAATTGTTCACAAGCAAACGTGTTTGTGAACTGAGGTACCGTTCTACATTGTTTTTCATTTGTGTTGCAGGAGATGATGAAGAAGAAATGGAGCATCAGGATGAAGGCAAAGAGCAGTTTTCAGAGCCAGAAGGCAGTGTGGAGGACAACTTGGGAGGTGACCCCAGTGAGGCCACCCAAAAGAAAGTCAAGGGCCAGCCCTGCCCGAGAAGGCTTTTTACTTTCAGTCTTGTGAACTCCTATGGAACAGCTGACATAAATTCACTTGCAACTGATGGGAAACTACTCAAACTGAACTGTAAGCACATCCCTGACTTTTCAGGCTAGGCTGTGGGAACCCTGGGTCTGTTTGCAAATCCTTGCCATCAGACCTCACTGCTTTAGGGTTCACAGTCTCCCTGTGGCTGGAAGCCCTCTGCGGAGTGTTTAGGCACTTGGACCCTGAGAGGCTCTTGCCTGTGTTTCACAGTGACCTGGCAGTAAGCAGTTCTCTCTCCACTCTCACTGCTCTGTAGGACCTTTGCTGTGGGTCAGGAATACTTCCTGTGGCTGCCCTAGTTTTATTTTACATATGAGAATAACCGTATATAACTTTTTCTTCCGTGAAAATACAGAAAGTTGGGGATGGTGGCACACTCTTGAAATCCCAGCACTTTGGGAAGCTGAGGGAGAAGAGTCTCAAAGTTCAAGCTCAGCCTGGGTAATTTAGTGACTTAGCAAGACCCTATCTCAAAATTAAAAATGACTGGGGAAGTACCTCAGTGCAGAGGCCCTGGGTCTAATCCCCACCCAGTACTGCAGATTAAATAACTGTAGCTTTCAGTTATTATCAAGTTCTGTGATCCTGGAAGAGCCCTCCACACACACACACACACACACTCTCTCTCTCTCTCTCTCTCTCTCTCTCTCTCTCTCTGGCTTTTAAGCTAAGAGGATGAATCTGGTACCCTCTCCCTTTTGACTGCACCCTGCTAGAATTCTGGATAGTTAGTGCCTTGGAGCTCATCAGGAGTGCTGTGGAAGTCTTTGTCAAGGGCTTTTGGGGGCTGAGGCTGGGACCCACTGCTCTTGGCAATAGCTAGGGATGGATGATCAGATGTGGACGGTGCTGCCTGAGCATGGCACTTATTCTGGTCACTTGAAGAGCCTCTCATGCTGCTGGCCATCTGTAATGAGTGACACTGTGGTCCCCTCCGCAGCTCGATCCACATTGGCCATCGACTGGGACAGTGAAACCCGGAGTCTTTACTATGATGAGCAGGAATCTGAGGTACGTCATGTGGAGTTCACGGTCAGTGATGTGCATGGGCTTCTGCCCTGCATGTGTGCTTGCATCACTTAGCAGCCAGACAGCAATAAGTTCTGTTTAAGACTGAAGGTGTACTCAGGAGGCTGGGGCAGGAAGATTGCAAGTTTGAGGACAGCCTGAACTACATAGTGAGAGCTTGTCTGAAAAAATTAAAAAGTCTGAGCGTGTAACCCAGTGCAAAAACTCTGGCTTTAGTCCTCATTACTTAAAACATAAAACAGGATGAAGAGCACCCAAGATTTTGTTCTTTTTATGCTGAGAGGCTTCAGGAAATAGTCTGTCCAGGTGGTACTCTTCTGTAGGCCGTGGGGTTTTTTTCTGTTGTTGTTTATTGTTTGGGGTTTTTTTTGTTTTTTTTGTTTTGTTTTTGGTACCGGGGATCGAACTCGGGTTCTTGCGCTTGCACAGCAGGCAGTGAAACCACTGAGCTAAATCCCCGGCCCTGTTGTTTGTTTTTTGAAGTAAAACCTTTATTGTTACATTTTAGATACATATAATGATAACATTCATCATAGAGAATTTAATTTGTACCTGTACAGGATATATCTTCCTTCTTTTTTTTCCATTCCCCCTTCGACCCCTCTTCCCCTCCTTATTTATAAAACCTTTGTTTCCATTTTTTCCTTCTATTTTTTTCCTTATTCTTTCCTTTCTTTCCTCTTCCCCCTCCCTTGTTCCCTTTCCCATTTGAACATTCTCTTCCCATTTCCCAATATCTGTTACACATCCTGGTCCTTATTTCCACTTTTGATTTCTCACACCACAGAAACAATGTAGTATTTAAACATGTGTGTCCAGTTTGTCTCACTTAAGAGTATGGTCTCGGGCCAGGGGTTTAGCTCAATGGTTCGTCCACCTGCCTTGCAAGCGGAAGGTCCTGAGTTTGATCCCCGGTACCAAAAAAAAAAAAAAAAAGGTGCAGCCATTTAGCTAGAAATGTCTCAAGCTCATCCTTTATGGCAGAGTACTACTTCATTGTATAAAAAAAAACCAACATATTGGGCTGGGGATTTAGCTCAGTGGTTCCGGCACCTGCCTTGAAAGCGCAAGGTCCCAAGTTTCTTCCCCGGTACCAAAAAAAAAAAAACAACACATCTTTATCCATTCGTCAGTTGATGAGCATTTGAGCTGTTTCCAAGTTTTAGCTATTACAAACTGTGCTGCTATAAACATGTCTGTGCATGTATCACTGTGGTGTGGTGCTTTTAATTTGTGGGGGGTGGATATCAAGAAGGGTAATAGCTGGGTCAAGTGAAACCTCTACTTTTAGTTTTTTGAGGAATCTCCACACTGATTTCCACAGTGGTTGCACCAGTCTGCACACCCACCAACAGTGGAGAAGGGTTCCTTTTTCCCCGTAGCCCTACTAGCATTTGTTATTAGCTGATTTCTTCATAACAGCCATTCTTTCTGCAGTGAGGTGGAATCTCAGTGTTGTTTTAATTTTCATCTCTCAAATGACCAGTGATGTTGAACATTTTTTTAACGTATTTATTTGCCATTTTTCTACTTCATCTGAAAAATGTCTGTTCATTTCAGATGCCCATTTTTGGATTGGGTCTTTCAATGTAGGGGGTCTAGGGCCAGGGATTTAGCTCAGTGGTGCTGCTGCCTGCCTCCCAAGCAAAAGGTCCTGAGTTTGATCCCTGATACCAAAAAAAAATTTAGGGGGTCTGATTTTTTTGAGTTCTTTATATATTGTAGATATTAGTCCTCATCGCTTCTCGGCCTTTTGGCTAGGATCAAGTGTAGATATTAGTCCTTTGTCTGAGGAACAGCTGGCAAAAATTTTTTCCCACACTGTGAGTTGTCTCTTCACTCTGTTGGTCATTTATTTTGCTGTACAAAAGCTTTTTAATAAGATGAGATCCAATTTGTTCTTTGTGATATTTCCTGTGTGATTGGGGTTTTGTTCATAAAGTCTTTGCATAGGCCCATGTTTTGAGCTGGGAAGATCAGAATTCTCCAGCAGAAGGTAGCACTTTGTCTCTACAGGCCTACGAGAAGCACATGAGCATAGTACAGCCTCAGAAGAAGAAGAAGACCTCAGTGGCCCTGCGAGACTGCATTGAGCTTTTCACCACCATGGAGACCCTTGGCGAGCATGACCCCTGGTATGGAGCTCCATAACCTCACAGGCCGCAAGCTCTTTGTCCTTGGATATATCACTTCTGAAACACCAGCTCAGCCCCACAGTCCTCCTGTGTAGGTTGTACATTCCAGACCAAGACAGCCATCACCTGGGCCAGGGACTTTGCTCAGTGGCACTGCACCTGCCTCGAAAGCACAAGGTCATGAGTTCAATCCTGGTACCAAAAAAAAAAAAAAAAAAGACAGCCATCACCTGACTGAAGGCAGGTTGCTGCGCAGAAATTGTGGTGTTGATTGCTCCCTGAAAGGACGTGATGTTGTGGTTGTACGTCTGAGCATATGGCACTGGCTGCCTCTCTTTTCTCTTCAGGTACTGTCCCAACTGTAAGAAGCACCAACAGGCCACAAAAAAGTTTGACCTGTGGTCCTTGCCCAAGATTCTGGTGGTCCACCTCAAACGTTTCTCCTACAACAGATACTGGAGGGATAAGCTTGACACAGTTGTGGAATTCCCAGTCAGGTGGGTCCCCGTGACACGGATTGGCTGAGAAGTTTACTATCTGTGTGCCAGGCTCTGGGAGGTGGGTTTTGCTGTGGCAGCCCTGCCCTCAGCCTTCTGGGGCTGAGGTAGACTCCCATAGGAGCCCTTCCCCGGCTTGGGGTACTGCCAACCATTTCTGCCACCACCCATGCCCCTTGCTGTCCTGCTTTTCTTGCCTGTCACTGGTCCCAGGGAGCCTGGCCTCAGAGGGGCAGCACAGGCACAAATTCTGCAAAGAACCAGGATTTTATGGGGCCAGTGGGTGGGATACAGGCCTCCACAGCGGTGTCCCTGACAGAGTGAGTGACTGGCACTGCTGTCTGCTCAGGCCCCAGGATACAGACTGCAGCTAAGACAGAAAAGTAAGCCAGCCAGAAAAGAGTTCCTGACAAAATGTGTGTTTTTAGATGCTTTCGGGAAGTTAATACATACATGAAAATACAGTAACAATGTTAATGATATGTATGAGTATTTTGTGTAAAAACTTGTTCCTTTTCTGTAAGGTTTTTTTTTGGGGGGTACCAGGGATGGAACCCGGGACCTTACGCTTGCGAGGCAGGTGGCAGAACCACTGAGCTAAATCCCAGCCCTTTTTTTTTTTTTTTTTTTTTGGTACCAGGGATGGAACACCAGCCCTTCTTTTTATGTAGGTGTGAAATTTTCCAAATACAATCAGTGTAAGCCAGGTACAGTTTTTGTCCCAGCTACCTATAAGCCCAGGTACTTGGGAGGCTGAGAGACAGGAGATTCATTTGAGCCAAAGAGCTTAAGACCAGCTTTGGGCAGTATAACAAGTTCTTGTCTCAAGAAAAATGAAATAAATAATAAATGAGAATGTTATAGGAGAAAAGCTTTCTAGCCAGGTGTGGTGGCTCACATCTGTAATCCTAGCACTTAGAAGGCTGAGGCAAGAAGATCACCATGAGTTCAAGGCCAGCCTGGGCTACATAGGAAGTTCAAAGTCGGCCTGAATTATATAGCGAGACCCTATCTACAAAAACAAAATAAGACCAGGGACTTAGCTCAGTGATTCTGCAGCCTGACTCAAAAGCACAAGGTCCTGAGTTCGATCCCTGGTACCAAAAAAAAAAGTTCTTAATGGGCCGGGGGTTTAGCTCAGTGGTTTTGCCACCTGCTGCATAAGCGCAAGGACCCGAGTTTGATCTCCAGTACCAAAAAAGAAAAAATAAGACCACGGGCCCCAGCATTCCTCTGCAGTGTCTGTTTTATTTCTGTCATAATGAAGATTGAACCAGAGCCTTGAAAATGCTAAGCAGGCATCCTACCACTGAGTGACATCCCCATCCCTTTTATTCTGAGACAGGAGCTCTCTAAGTTGCTCACGATGGCCTCCAACTTGAAATTCTCCTGCTTCAGCCTCCAAGTCAGTGATATAATAGGTGTGCCCTGCCATGCCTGCTTGTTCATTTATTTTATTTTATTTTATTTTATTTTTATTTTTGGTACCGGGGATCGAACTTGGGACCTTGTGCTTGTGCAACAGGTGCCGGAACCACTGAGTTAAATCCCCGGCCCCTGTTCGTTTATTTTTTTTCCTAAATAGTTTTTTTGGTACTGGGGATCGAACTCAGGACCTTGCACTTGCGAGGCAGGCATCAACTAGTTTTTTGTTTTTTTTTTTTGGTACCAGGGATCGAACTTGGGACCTTGCGCTTGCACAACAGGTGCCGGAACCACTGAGTTAAATCCCCGGCCCCTGTTCGTTTATTTTTTTTCCTAAATAGTTTTTTTGGTACTGGGGATCGAACTCAGG